TATATTTATATACATACATATGTATTTTAATAGATTAAAAAAAGGAAACAAGCATTAAGAAGCTCCAGAACTAAACTTGTATTGAGAAACCCTTGGAGGCAATCACGGATGATTGATGAAATCAGGTTTTTTCTGTAATGTTCAGGAAACATTCAGTCAGACTTGTGCACCTGTTCACAGGTATGTTGACTCACTGTTCATCAGCAAGGTACTTTAATTTGTCTGGGACAGTTTGTTTTTTAGAATTTTTTTTTTTAATCAAAATGAATGAAATCTTCATTTAGTACATTTTTATTAATGCGGGGGGGGTTTTCGGTCTTGTGTTATTTGAATTACCTGTGTGAATTTATAATTTTCTTTAACGGGAGCACAACTGTATATTGTTGTGCTTTACACTAAACACATTTAGGGCAAATAACTGAGTCAGTAAAATTACTTATCTCTTCAATTTATTTACAATCAGCACTTTCTTACCCTCATTTATACTAACAATTGTGTTTCTAAGCAGAGTTGACACTCTCTAGAAGCATCTCTAGAAGCTTTGGTTAAGAACTGAGCTACTGATATATTCACTAGATGACAGAAGTTCATTCATTTCATTTATTTAATAACTTCTATCATCCAGTGAATATATAAGCAGCCAAAGCATCTAAATACAGTGTCAAACTGCTTAGAAACACAATTACATCTGAGGCTTTTGGACATAAACATTTGTTATATAAGTAAATCCAAAAGTACTTGTTGCTATAAAAGAATATAAATGCTCGAACTGTACAACATGTAAACAGCCGAGCCTGGTAAATCTGAAGAGGTTGTTTGTTAGGTAGTAACTGTTACGGGGTGGTAAAAATGAAATTCTGCTAAGTATTAGCAACAGTATTCTAAGACTCAGTTATTTGATTTAGGTAAATCAACATGGACTTGCCTATGTCTTATTTTAAAGGCAGATTCAACTGACCTGATTAGGATAAACCTGAATGTGGCGCCAACTGGGACACTGCTGTAATTTATAATGTCATAAAATAATTAGAGCTGTCTACCTAGTTTATGAAGGAGGAGAAAAGTACATTCTGTAGGTTTTGGCAGATTTTAGTAAGTGGAACTGCACCAAAAAAAAAGAAAAAGTGGTTGATGAGTCATATCAAAACAGAGAACGGTAGCCTTGCACCTCCTTGTGCAAAAGTGAGTCAGACTCATCTTTAAGGATGACTTTTAGCAATAAAATTACCCACATAAGAAACGCTTTAGGAAATGATTTTAAAGGGTTTTGGGTGGAGTTTCTTAGAACATTTCAGCGTCATAAAAAAAAAAAAAACAATTATTAAAAAAAAAAACAATACAAGTATTGAAATAGAGAAGACTGGTTGGAAACACCAAGAGCAAACACACAAAAAAAACCTTATTTAACCTGATGTTAGGAAAGTGTGGTAGACCCCACCTATAATGTTATTAAATAATAAATAACACTGAAGAAATGCAGCATAAATTGTAGCTTTATAGAACAAATACAAAGGATATCTTATAAATGTTCTTGGTTGTTCGGGCTGCTTTGTATCGCCCTCAAACTGTATAATTAATCTCTCTGACCGTTATTTCATTACTTATTATTTATTTCATTACTTCACTATGTGCAATAACACAGTCGTGCAATAATTGCAATTTGGAACTGAGCAGCATTGCAAACTGTAAATAATGCTGATTGTATAAACTGTGATCCTTATTTTATCTATCAATATTTATTTTATTCTTATATTCTATTTTACACTGTTTATATGTAAAAGGGTGTAATTTTACTGTGTGATTTGTAATTTTACTAGTTTTACCTATTTTACTTATTGTACTTTTATCTTATTGTTCTATATTTTATTTTGCTCTATTGTACTTACAATCTAATTTTCTCTCTTCTGTAAACGACTGCACTGCAAGAAAAGAATTTCCAGCGGAGGATTAATTAAGTAATAATGATTCTAATGTCCATGCATGTATGTCCATGCAGAGCTCTTTAAAATAAATAATTTTATACCAGCTTGAAACCTTGGTACTACTCTGTATTTTTGGACTTAAAGTTTTAGGTTGAATAAAGTTTGAGGAAAAATGGCTTAATTACTCTGCTTAAAACACTTAACAGTAAAAAGGTCACAAACAAACACTTGCAGGGATAAAGCTGCATTTCTTTTAGCTTTGACTAAATAAAAAGAAAATCCTCATCAGTGCTTCTTCTGAGCATTTGACCATAACCAGGAGATAGATTTGGACCTTTGAACACAATGTTTAAGAACCCCTTTTTTTCCGGAATAAAGGCGTTTGGTTGGTTTATGGCTCTTTCTTTTTTCCTGTCTGCGCATTAGACCGGAACGCATATTAATAAAATGAAAAGAAGCATTATTTCACTGTGCATTTTCTTGGGATAAAACTTCACATCTCAGGACACTCAGTTCAGGTATAGCATGAAAATAGAAATCTGCACAATCTGGTGGTGCAGCCAGAAAACGATTCCTGAAGTAGTGTTTTTCTCACCCCTATACTTTGTTTGTAAGTGTTTGTGAAGCATTTATGCTGATGGAATTGCGCCTCTGCAGCCCAAGCTACTTCGGCGCAAGATTGTGTTCTCGGCAGGAGTCCAGATAAAAGAGCTGTAGATCAGCAGCGCTTTGCTGAATATCTCGTAAGCATTAAGAGTGCAGCAAAAGAAAATGGCCATTTGATGGGTATGAAAAGATTGAATAAAAATGGTCATTTTCCAGGGGGGAAAAAAAGTGTTGCATATCCAACTTTTGGATGGGATGTTTTTGCGGAGGCTGCAGAAAGCATGGTGTTTGTCATGGAAATAAGGTGGATTACAGTCTTTGAGGTCTGAGATCAGTGGCAAAATATAGGCGGGAGTTCATTGTGCTTATTTAAAAACTATCATGGAGGAACATATGTGTATCATAAACCGCTGGGCTTATTTTGCTTTGTGTTAACCACCGATTTTAATCACTCAACCTCCATGCAGTACACAAAGGAGGGACTCAGCACTTAGAGGCCTCATATATACTCCTTCATCGAGCTGCAGCTGACAGTTTTTAAGTGAAACCATTCAGAATCCTCTGGAGATCACAATGGGGGCTTGAGACGAAAACTGCTTTTGCATTCTTCTTGGGATGGCAGTGGTGTTGGCCAACCTAAACCCCACACAGAAGATCATTCATCTGCTGCAATTTTGAGGCTCGGGGATTGATGAGTTCTTCCCAGTGGTCTGGTTTGAAGAGAATTTTGTTTTTCATAAAGTGCCAATAAATCTCTTCGGTGCAAGTAATAAAGCTATTTAGAATCCAAACATCACGCAAAAAAAAATCTCTTGTTCTATCCCCAACATGATGTTTCAGGCTTTGATAGCAGCAATTTTGCTGTCACATGAAAGGGAAGATTTAAGGATTCAGAAGAGGATTTAGTGTCCTTTTTCTTATGACATCATTCCTCTTATTTCAAATCAACCTTCGAAAGTGACACCATAAGAAAGCAGCACATTGCTGTTCGTAGCCACCATCAGGTGGATTTTAAAAAAAACGCCCTGCACGAATCATTAACCAAAAACGTGATAGGATCTCTGCAAAATCTTCTGTGAGTGCTATCAATCAAGTGGTGCCACTCTGGCCCGAGGGTAACCACAATAGCATCAAATCAAGAAGAGCAAAGAGTGGGAAGCTTGCTTTTAAAACACACACCCAACAAAACAGACTGTGGCCCACTGTCATAAATCATGCTGCGCTCTCACCAACAACCTTTGAAGAATAGAAAAAAAGGATGTATGAGTTTTAACAAATAAACATGCGGCATTTTTCAGAGCTGTAACTATGCACAGGGGATTGTGTTGGGAAATCTGATGGTTATAGCAAATACACTGCAGTGTATCATTACAAAGAAGAAATCATCTCTATTTTAGATGACAATAAGGGCCATGTTTGTAATTGTTGTTATTGTGTGATTTCCTGCCTGACGCTATATACTGCACATAGTCGAAACGGCACCATGTTGTGACAAAAATAACAGTAAAATG